ACAATTATTGGAGCAGTTGCAACAGCTTCCGGAGGTGTTGAATTGGACGCAACCCAGTTGTGGCATATGCGGTTGGGACATGCTGGAGAGAAATCCTTGCAAATTCTGGCAAAGAAATGATTGTTGAAAGGTGCAAAAGCTTGTAAATTGAACTTTTGCGAGCATTGTGTTCTGGGAAAGCAGAAGAGAGTGAAGTTTGGTACCACTATACATAATACAAAAGGTATTGTGGATTATATTCACTCAAATGTATGGGGTCCTTCAAAGACATCGTCTTTGAGAGGAAACCATTATTTTGTAACTTTTGTTGATGACCTTTCCAGAAGAGTTTAGGTGTATCCGATGAAGTCTAAAGATGAAGTGCTTCGAATTTTCCTGAAATGGAAAAATATGATCGAGAACCAGACTGGTAGAAAGATCAAACGTCTTAGGACGAACAATGAAGGGGAATATAAAAGTGTCCAATTCTTTGACGTTTGCCATGAGTATGGTATTGTTCGACACTTCACTGTTAGAAATACACCACAACAGAATGGGGTGGCAGAGCGTATGAATCGAACACTATTGGAAAAAGTTCGATGTATGTTGTCTAATGCTAGGTTAGGCAAGACATTTTAGGCTGAGGCTTGACATATGCTGGCCATCTCATCGATCGTCTGCCGTCATTAGCGATAGGAGGAAAAACACCATTGGAGGTATGGTCTAGAAAACCTGCTACTGATTATGATTCCTTGCATGTATTTGGATCCACTACTTATTATCATGTGAATGAATCCAAGCTTGATCCGAGAGCAAAGAAGGCTTTCTTTATGGGAATCACCCATGGAGTGAAGGGATTCCGCCTTTGGTGTTTAGACACCAAGAAGATAATTTGTAGTAGAGATGTTACCATTGATGAATCTTCCCTAATAAAGAAGGTAACAAATGAAGCTGTCCAGACAAGTAGTACTCCGCAGCAGGTGGAGCATACTCCAAAACAGGTGAAGTTTCAGCAGACGATGATCCCAGACGCTGATGTAGTTGATTCTTCAACTCCAATAGAAGAATCAGAAGATGAAGAGGTTCAAACCCAAGAACCATTGGAGACACCATAACCACTTGCAGTTACAAGGCCAAGAAGAGAAATTCGTGGACCTGCTCGATTTGTTGATATGGTGCCCTATGCTCTTCCAGTTGTTGATGATGATATCCCTGTCACTTACCAAGAAGCAATACAAAGCTTGGAAAGTGATAAGTGGAAAAGTGCCATGGATGAAGAAATGCAATCTCTCCAAGAGAACAACATTTGGAAACTGGCTCAATTACCGAAAGGTAAAAGATCAATTGGATGCAAGTGGGTATTTGCAATGAAAGATGGATCTCATAGCAAGAAAGAAGTTCGCTACAAGGCATAGTTGGTAGCTAAAGGCTACGCTCAGAAGGAGGGGATCGACTACAATGAAGTATTTTCCCATGTTGTGAAACATTCCTCCATTAGAATATTGTTGGCCTTGGTAGCATAGTTGAATTTGGAGCTAGCTCAACTTGATGTAAAGACGGCTTTCTTGCACGGTGATTTAGAAGAGGAGATCTCTATGACTCAGCCAGAAGGATACAAAGATGGTGGTCGTGAGAAATGGGTTTGTAAGCTGAACAAATCGCTATATGGATTGAAGCAATCTCCGAGGCAGTGGTACAAGTGATTTGATAGCTTCATGAGGAGGCAAAAGTACACTAGAAGCAAATATGATCATTGTGTGTATTTGCAAAAGCTTAAAGATGGATCTTTCATTTATCTTCTCTTGTACGTTGACGATATGTTGATCGCTTCGAAGAGTCAAAAGAAGATAGACAAATTAAAGGCTCAGTTGAATCAAGAGTTTGAGATGAAAGATCTAGGTAAGGCCAAGAAGATTCTTGGTATGGAGATAAGCAGAGATAGACAGAGAGGGAAGCTTTGTTTAACACAGAAGCAGTATCTGAGAAAGGTATTACAATGTTTTTGCATGAATGAAAATACCAAACATGTAAGTATCCCACTAGCTTCTCATTTGAAACTTAGTTCTCAATTATCTCCTAAAACTAACGAAGAACGAGAGTATATGGAAAAAGTTCCATATGTTAATGCAGTTGGGAGCTTGATGTATGCAATGGTGTGTACACGTCCTGACATTTCACAAGCAGTTGGAGTTGTGAGCAGTTACATGCATGATCCTGGAGAAGGACATTGGCAAGCTGTGAAATGGATTCTACGGTATCTCCAACAAACCGTGGATGTTGGTTTAGTTTTTGAACAGGATGAAGCACTTGGTCAGTGTGTGGTTGGATATGTTGATTCCGATTATGCTGGTGATTTGGATAAGCGTCGATAAACTACTAGGTATTTGTTTACTCTTGCTAAAGCCCCAGTAAGTTGGAAGTCTACATTGCAATCTACGGTGGCCTTGTCTACTACAGAGGCAGAATACATGGCAGTTTCAGAGGCTGTAAAGGAAGCAATTTAGCTTAACGAGTTGATGGAAGACTTGGGAGTTGTTCAAAGTCACATTAGTCTCTATTGTGACAGTCAGAGCGCTATTCACTTAGCGAAAAATCAAGTCTACCATTCAAGGACTAAGCATATCGACGTGAGGTATCACTTTGTGCGGGAGATCTTTGAAGAAGGAAAGATTCTACTTCAGAAAATTGTGACATCAGAAAATCCTGCAGATATGATGACCAAGGTAGTAACAGTAATCAAGTTCAATCATTGTTTGAACTTGATTATCATCCTGAAAAAATGAACACCTTCGGGTGTGTGGCGCTTGTGAGCGCAATTAGAGGCACTACAAATTTGGGGAGTTGAAGAAGTTGAGTAGGCTTGGTAATTTCAAGCCAAGGTGGAGATTTGTTAGATTTGGCTTGAAATTAAGTTGGCAAGTTAGAAATTTCATCTTGGTTGGTGGCCAAACTTTGAACATGGGAATTTCATATTTGGTGGCTAACTTGTACACATTGGAAAATTCTTTGGTAGGTGGCCAACTTATTTTTCATGTTTAATCCCTAAAATATTAGGTTATTTATAAGTTTAGTCCTTAAAACTCAACTATAAATAGGTCTAAGTATTTCATTAGAAACCATCCCAAAACAAGTATTTCATTCTCCCACTTTGGGAATTCTAAAGAATTCCATTTGTTGTAATATTGGCGATATAGTGAAGTTATCATCTGGTGTGGTGCCCGAGGAGTAGACGATATTCTCGTCGAACCTCGTAAATTTGGTGTGTTCTCTCCTTTATTGTTTTTATTCGGTTTTTTCCATTGTGTTTCAATATTCAATAGTTTGACAGATTTATCCTCTGTGCAACCTTTGGTGTTTTGATCTTGACATTTTAGGTCAATTTTGAAACTACGTTCGTGTGGGAAATAACCCGATTTCCCCAACACCCTCCACAGTAGAGCTTTTCTTTCCAGCATTAAAATTCCTCCTCCAATTCGTCACCTATGGACCATATGGTTCATCCGGAGTCAAGGGCCTTTCAGTTTCCTTTGTTTTAACATTAGTAACCGAGCTGCCATCCACCCAACACGTTTCTTGCGCATGGCCATACATACTGCACTTGAAGCAGATAGTAGGGAGACCTTCATATTCCACAAATTGATATCGTCCATCAATTCTTATCCTGGGGATCAAAGGCCTATCAAGGTTAACAACAATAGCGAGTCTGGCAAATCGTCCTCGTTTCCCCTCGGTCGTATTATAATCTATTTTGACAATCTTACCTAGGGAACCTGCAATAGCCCTAAAGAGGCTCTTCGTGTAATACCCGTAGGGCAAAACAAGTAATCTCACCCAGGCCAAAACCGTGCTAGGATGATCCTCGGAAGTGGAAAAGTTTCTCGACCACGGTTGAACCGTCAGATAACTACCATACACCATCAGGATCCACCAGATAGAAGGTTAAGATAATCGTTCTCTAGGTCGAAACGGGCAAGGAAGTAATCGTTATCCAGATCAACTAATTGGATTTCTACGGCAGGGCTCCATAGAATTTGGATGCGATTCAGGAGAGCATTATAACCAATTCTTTTCCCCAGTAGTCGGATAATGACTGAATTGGAAAACTTCTCATCGATGGAACTATGGATTCTTTCAGAAAAAATAATATTCGGAATCGAACCTTCCAAACCTATTTGGACATCACCCTCTCATAAGTCAATATCGAGATCCTCTATGTAATTTTTTGTCTGCTGCAAACTCGTATTCCCAACCACCATATCCCTAAAGGACGGTTTAGTAGGTTGCTCAATAGGCTTCTCTACAACCCTCAAGTCCGACCGTTCTGACACCTGGATCGATGGCTCCCCCAGCTTATCATTCATTATCGTATCGGTTCCATCAACCTCCATGCCAATCTCTACACGATCTACCGTAGGACTCGGACTGTCCTCGTTCCTGGTTTTTCCCCCAACGATGTATCCTTACATGTTACTCCTTGTGCGGGGAGCTCCAGACTGGTCGTCGAGACGTTTCGAATGAAATCGATGGAAATTTGATTTTTTTTAACAATTTCATATAATATTTAGATAATTATAATTATTTTTATTATAAATAGAAAAATTCATAATAATTTGTTTATTTTTTTCCGTTGAAAAAAACTTTGAAAGAAATATATGTCAAAATTTTATGTTATATGTATACATGTTATAAGTTTAATCATAATAGCAATTTAATGCGTACTTAACTCCCAGTTTTTATAATTTATTCTGTCAATTTTCAGTTCTCTGGACATAACTAGTAGTAGTATTTGATAGACCTGTCTGACTGCAACGTGAAGAATAGTCGAGTTGTTCACCGATTGACAAAGAGATCCAATGAATTTCGATTTCTTTTGATCATCCACATCCAATTGAAGTGCAAATGTAATCTTGCTTACACTATTCAAATTATAAACATAAACAAATGATTCCACTCACTAGCCCCTACATGTAGTCTTTCTAAAACTTGAATTACTTCATTCTGCTAAATATGTACAAATGTAATTAATCCTTGTTACTGCCTTCCAAGGCAGCAGCTAAATACCCAACTTTCAACCCATCGTCGCCAGCAAAATTATCCCTGCAGTGGAACGAAATCGTCGGCCGAATCGGAACATCATTGACGGTACGCTTGTAAAGACCGAACCACTTGGACTGCATGTAGCCGCTCCGCCGCCACGGCGGCAAGTGCATGTCCTCCGCTTTCATGGATTCCTTCATTGCTTTGCACATTAGTTTCACGACCTGCTTCAGCTCTTTGGGTTTACAGACGAAGATCGGTGGGATAAGTTCGAGTAACGAGGCGTAACTAGTTGTCGGTCGAGCTATTTCGAAATGAGCCACGAGATTTACTTCCACAATGTACCGAGTTCCATTGGTATACACATCTACGTACTCATAGGCTCCCGAGAGTAGATTTCGTCCTAGTTTGTCCCACCGGGATTTGCACAAACCAGCGTCAAAGCCCTTGTCGCGCAGATGAGACATCAACCGACGCTTGAAATCATCGGATAAACCGTACCCTATCGACATCTCACATGCATGTTCTGTCTCTTTCTTAACCATTTGCTTCACATCGTCCTCTTGGTCGTATTGCAGCAAACCCAGCAACATACTTTTCGTCTCGGAATCCAGCCAATAACCATCGGAGACGTCTCGCTCTCGACAAAACGTCGCCGTTTCATCGATTTCGACCTCAAAACCCCCACCACTCTCGAAGAACGAATTCACGAGATCCGACAGGTCGGACTCGGTCGAGTCCTCCGGAGAGTGTTCGCTACCACTGGTCTCGCAGAGCCGTGCTGCTTCGTTGAAAGCCACGGCTATCTTATTCATCCTCCACATCGTAGACATAAACAAATTGCTAAAATACTTTTGATTCTTAAATAAAATGAAATTATGATCTGCATATATTTTTTTGATAAATGCATAAATTATTTATATAAAGAAAATAATGGAAATTTATATGATTATCGAGTATTATAGACTAACAAAATATAACCTAATGTCATCATCCTATGGTCATGGCGCAGTCATTCAAGATATTCTCAGAGAAAATCATGGAGATTAATAAGGTAATTATTTGTTACAGACAGTACAAAGGCTAAATACAATGTGATAAAGCCTTGACGTGCAAGTATTGTTGAATTAATGAATCTGTAATCTTTTTTCTTTATATAAAAACCGCCATATTTCCACGTAGTTTTGTAATTATATATCTTTAACTTTAGCGGTATAGGCCGGGCGTTTGAGATAAGCGTCCATGCAAGTTCCACAAGGTTTACACGTGTTAGATTGCACCAGTGCCTTGTCAGACTATGTTGCCACGTGCTATTCATGATTCTACATTTTTACTCTTCTTTGTAACTTCCACGTGGAAATTAGTCTCATAATTTATTTATCGATAGTTTATCCTTCATCATTTTTAGTTCACTAGTCACTACCGCTAGTTGTATTCGACCGACACGTCAGGCTGCGACGTGGATAATAGACGGCGATATTGATCGAGTGGTACATAGACAATGACAAAGAGGTCCAATGAATTTCGATTTCTTTGATCAAAAACATTATCCACATCCCAGTTAGATAAGGGTTCATGGATATGGACAATAACGTTACAAGTAAAGACATAAAGGTGTAAATTTAATAAATTATATAATATAGTTAAATGTGATGATATGTTTTAGTTTGAGTATGTATCTTCTTACAATTATGTGTAGAGGTATAAAATAAATTAAGAGTATAGGGAACAAATTAAGGGGAGGAATAGTATAGGGCCAAGAAACAAGCATAGCGAAGTTAAAAGAGAGACTTGTTTGGTTACTAATATTATGGGTAGGGTGAATAAAACTCGATTCGATTAAAAAAATCAATTTTTTCTTTCAATTTCGAGTTATTCGAGTCAACTCGAATTATAAATTCGGTTTTCGAGATCGAGTTGAAATTTTGAATTTTCGAGTTACCTGAAAAATTGAAACTTTGACTAAGTATTTTGATAGTTTTACGATTTAGTCATTGATTTATCATTTCTTCAATTCCTCCCTCATTTTAAGCCTTTTTTTAACAAATTTGAACCACAAGTTCCTAAACCATAGTAGAATACATGTGTACTTTCATTTCTCTTTTTGATAACAAATTTTTATTTTTCAATTTAGTCATTCAATTTTTTATAATTTCCTTATTTCTTCAATTCTTCATTTATTTTAAATCTGTTTTTACCAAATTTGAGTCGCACGCTCTTGAACCATAGTAGAATACATGTGTACTTTCAATTCTTCTTTTTGATAACAATTTTTTATTTTTCAATTTAATCCTTCAATTTTTCATAATATCCTTATTCCTTCAATTTGTTATTTATTTTAAATTTGTTATTTACCAAATTTAAACCACATGCTCATATACCACAATAGAATACCTATGTAACTTCAATTTTTATTTTTTTACTAGAGTTGTACTCTCTTTTTTATTTAGTCCCTTAACTTTACATTTTACTCAATTTAGTCTTTTGACTACAATTGTTTGCGAACTCTTTCTTCTCATCAATTCATTGACTCATTTATATTATCATCAATGTTATACCCTCAAAATACTTTCTTTAAAATATAATATTATGAATATATTTCATAGTTTTAGATTGTATTTGATATATTAAATAACATTATAATATGAAAGAATATAATATATAGATATATAATGGTTAGATAAAGTCAAAAAAATGGAACAAATCATTGCTATAATACTATAAATAATTATAATAAAATCAGTATAAAACTCGAATAACTTGACTCGAATTTCTTAAACTCGACTCGACTTGAAAAAATTTCAAGTTAAGTTTGGGTTGTAAAATACAACTCGTCAACTCGAATAACTCAATTTTTTGACTCGACTCGATCGAATGCTCACCCCTAATTCTGGGATATTGCAAAACAAATAGAGGTAAACTTTCTCTTTAAGTCCCTGTACTTGTGGGAAGAATTTCATTTTGATTCTATACTTTGGAAATAAAAAAAATATCCATTCCACATTATGGATAAAATATTCAAAAACAATAAAATATACACGTAATATCTTTAACAATGTCCGTACAAGTGGGAGGGAGAAAAACAAAACCGAAATAGAGATATTTCTTCTTCTTCTTCAAGAAACACAACACTTTGCAATACAAAGAGCATAATCGATATAGGAAACTAAACATAGGGTGTCTCAGGATTTTCACGCCACACAACTGCATTTGCACCGCGACATGCATTTCTTGCAGTCAGAAAGAGTTGGCTTCCCATCGTTACAATCACAGCGGTTCATACAGTCCGACCTGGCAGCGCCACCCCACAAGCACCGCGTCATGCAACGGATAAGCGGCACACACGACGGACAACCGTAGCTCATTTGCTGAACGACGCAGTCCTTGCATCCATTGCCGTCGCCTTTCAGCGGGCATGCCACGGCGGGAGAACTCATCGACCATAATACCATTAGAAGAAGCATGATGGCCAGAGCAAAAGTAGGCTGCTTTCTCCCCTCCATTATCTCTTCCAATAACTATGGCTATTTTCTAGGGTGTTCATTTATTCTTCAAGATTTGTCGACTTATGGACTTAATTAAGTAAGCAAAAATAATCAAATAACGCGGCAATGTTGTCCATACTGTGAGGTGAGCTGGCTCTGAGTTCAATTAACAGCCGTTTGATGAAAATCTCGTGGATTGCTTAATCTGAATGCGCTAGTGTGAATGTGAGACTTCTGGTATGAATCAAGGGTGGGTTGGTTCTACACGACTTATAATTCTCATTCAATTATCTCATTGATTGCGCAAATATCCCATTTATTCAGTTTTATTTCACCTTACACATTTTCGATATCAGATAATCAATTTTTTTTAAATAATTCATATTGAATTAGATTAAAATTCATTTTATAAGTTAAATATTTTTAATATTATTTTTTATTTATAAGATTCGAATTCACAATATTCAGAATTGTGGCGCTATGTTCAATTTCGAAATTCTTTGATACGTATATAGTCGCTCATATGCTGAGTACCTTTACTGATCGAGAGATGTCTACCAATGCATAAATTTTATCGTGTTTAATTTCGAATATAACACTCTAAATCACTATCAAAGTTTTAGTATCGAGGGTTGAAATAAAATATCGAAATGATTCTTGACTAATCGTATAAATATATGCAACAAGATATTTATACGATTAGTCAAGAATCATTTCGATATTTTATACGAAAAGTATCAGATATTGTTATCAGGTTTCGGCCAGTTTAGTTTCATTTTTAGAAGCAATTTGCAATTAATCAAGAAGCTGTGAATTTCAGCTAATTTTAAGCTTAATTGAGTGTTAAAACTAAAAGTCTGTTTAAATTGATGAAAAGAGTCTATTTTATATATTGTCTTAGAAAAGGAGAGAATTGAAGTATCACATGTTGTAATCAGGCTTCAGTTTAGTTTCTGTTTAGGAAGAAATTACAATTAATCAGGAATGTTTGAATTGGAGCTAATATTAAGCTTAATGGAGTGTCGTTAAATTGATGAAAATAGTGCATTTATGTATATATTTGTCCCCCAAAGGGAGAAAACTGAAGTATCACATGTTGTGATCAAGCTTCGGTCAATTTAGTTTCTGTTTATGAAGAAAATTGCAATTAATCAAGAAGGTGTCAATTGGAGCTAATATTAAGCTTAATGGGTTGCTAAAAGTTGGGTTAAATTGATAAAAACGACCCATTTATGTATGTATTTGTCCCAGAAAAGAAGGAAACTAATGGAATTTATTCTGGACTTTGTAGGAAAATGGATTACTGTTTGTCCCCAAGGGCCAGGCTCAAAATGCTTAAGCTCAAATGTTCTCTGACCCTAACATGGCTACGGACATGATGAAGAAAAACCTCTCTATGATTATACCTCAGGTATTTTTATGATGCTTAGACCTTTACTGTTCATATGCTTTGGTTTGATGCTCGTGTTCTAGAATTGACTGTTTTGTGTACACTGTTATTATCAGAATCTCACTTTTGCCTGGGTCAACTTTTTCTTCTCTGGATTTGTTGCAGGTTTGATTCAGTGTTACTGTTTTACTTCCAATATTTCTGAGTATTTTCCTTTTAGTTCTACACCCAAGATTGAATTTACATTTCTAGTTACGAAATTGATTTCATGCATCTGTAGAATTTGCTAAAGTTAACTGTTTCCTATTAGATTGGATTTGTTTTATTTTCGTTCTTTGTGACATGGTGACGGACACAATCTTTTGTTGCATTGGAATCAAAATTCTAACTTAACTGATCCTGTTATGTACTATTAGGGTACGTTTGATTCTCGGAATGTAAGATTATCAGTGGGAATAAAATATTACCAAAGAATAAGATTACTGAGAATATTACAATACTGTGTTTGGTTGGTTTGACATGAATGTAAGATTACAATATTTGGTTGAATGAATAAAAGATTATGGAATGTATATTTTACTAAATTATCCTTGTCCTATATTTTTTTAATAAGTGAAATTCTAAATATTTAAATAAAAATTATTTATATAAAAATTCTATCTGTTGATAATATATTACTTGAGTATTTAAATATACCTTGTATTAATATTAAATTATACATAATTTATGTAAAAATATATTAAAATTTTACATCAACATTTAACTAAATATTTAAAACTAGCTTAGGTTCATATGTGACGCATTCACTATGAGGTTTCTTGTATTTTTCAATCGACAAGGTTTACAATCTTCTATATACAATAATTTATCATAGATATTCATAATAATAAAAAGATGTAAATTATTTTTGTTATCTAAGATAATATTTATTATATCTTCTATATACAATAATTTACTTATTTATCTTTTATATTTATACTTAATTCTGCATACTTTATCATTATTATTTATCTCATGAATTTATATTACAAAAACATAATTCAAATAAGTAATAAAATATAACACTAAAAATCATATTGTCTATAATTTTATATTTCACCGTCATTCATCATTATCTTTGTTAATATTTTAATAAAATTATTAATACTCAGTCCTAATTTGATTTGTACTTAACTCCTGATTACGAAAAGCAAACAACCCAATAATTCTAGTTTCCCAACCTGTAATTTCTCTCCGAACATACAAAAACCGACGGAGGCCAAGCTTTGAACATACTAACCGTTAGTTTCTTTCAGATCATACACAAAGGACAAGTAAATAGCTTACCTGTATCTAAAGAAAATTCTAAAACAATTTTAAGTGGCTGCTAATTCGGCCATGTCCGAATTATTCTAAGCTATCAGTCATGAGATTGCTTTTCAAAAAAAGTGTTAATGACATCTACTTCAGGGTTGGAACATTGATGGCTATTGCAATGCTAGGATTTGCATGAATTCTGAAGACAACCCATCTCAACTGTCTGAATATTTTCACAACAGAACGTTTGGCATTAAGAGCACGACCTCATTGCCGACCAGCTTATATATGTATAACAACCATCTAGAGCTGTGAATGCAGAGGAGGATAAAAACCTTGCATATATTTAAACTACTATTCGTCCTCGCCGGAACCTATGCTACTTGGACTTCGGACATCTCATAGAAATGCAAAAACATGAAAGTGATTACAACTGGTACTGGTCTTAACTATATTCTTCGTGGAAAGAAAGATGACTGGATTCCAAGCTTACCTGGAAGTCTGGAACTGCAGCATGTTCAAGAGGACTGTTATTATCCAATATCTTGAAAACCTTTTCAGCTGTGATTTTAAGAGTGTTAATGACAAGACTATCACATTAATTGCAAGCCATATACTACAAACAACTGTTGCAACAGAAATTAGCCACGATAATTTTGACAAGACTATCCAAGATACCGAATAGCAGATATGAACTCATCCATACCGAATAAATTTTTATAAGCTTACATTCTTTGTTTAGCTTACATAACAAAAGGAAGTATAACACTAACCATCAAAAGTTTGTACAATGTTCAGACTTACAAAAGATAATAGCCATGACATTCTAAACTTAATCATATATGTTGACTATATTAGATACACAAAAAATTTCTCTCCGAACATACAAAAACCGACAGAGGCCAAGCTTTGAACATACAAAGATAATAGCCATGACATTCTAAACTTGAATTATTGGGTTGCTTGACATATACCTGGCTAAGCTACACAAAAAAGTTGGGACCATAATCTAAAGTCATAATAAAAAAGAGATCGGCATAATTGTAGAAGGACCACAGTCAAAAGGATGGTCTAAAGTGATGGCATTCAACTAATTGCTTAATCACATAATCTTTTTTGAATTCTTTTGGCAAAGAAAAGAAGAAATCTAACTTGTGTGCATCTTTGCTAATATACTCTCCTGCAATAAGCATTTCATCATTAGACAAGCCTTCAATTTTCATGATTTCTGTGAAAATCGGCATTCTTCGATCATTTCCTTCTGTGAAAATCATTGGATAGGCATGCAGTAACAGTAACTCACTTTGAACTAATGGAAACTAAAGTTGCAAACTAAACATCTCATCATTTATGAATTTACAGACATCAATAACCAACCTGTTTTAGATAATCATCTAAAAACATTATACCATGATCATCTTGCCCCGTATTTAGTTTGAAAATGCGCACTACTTTATCCCTTCTTAGAGACTGCAGAAAAGCGAACTCGTTATAGAAATCACATGGGACTAAGTGAGAAGGTTATTCTACTAATCAGTCCAGCAGAGAGAGAGAGAGTTGCAAGAAATATTACAATCAAAGAAAACGCCTAACAAACTAGAATATGCACTTGCTCCCCCTGCAAGAACTAGGAACTATCTAACTAGACAGTTAGATGCCTTTCTTATCACCTTCAGTCATAAAACATGTCCCAAATATTTACTTTACCAAGAATCAGATGATGTGTTCATCGTAAAACATGCACGTCTAGCTATAATCTGCAGCAACCAGATGGTTCTAACCTGGAAAACATGTGGCAACACCCTAGAGAATCGAAGAAAACCAAAATACAAGATATCTCGGGATAAAGTCCTTAAACTAGGATATATTGTGAGCCTTCTGCATAAAATGTGCAAGAATAACACAACTAATCAAAATCACTTGCATAACACTTAACTTTAAATTGTACATTAATTAAATCCAACCCACCAAAAATACCACTCCCATAATTCAATTAATAAAACACTTTTTTGGCCAAACGTACCATTGAACAATAGATCAGGAACAATTCTACATATGAAGTAATATTCTAAATTTGAAGGTTAAGGAACCAAACCTCTAGCTCCCTATCCACTTGTGTTCTGTCCTTTACACTGCTATACAATTGTGACTGTAAAATAAAAGGTTGAATCGACACCTTGAAACATAACCAAATCAAATGAAAAAGTTTAGCTTTATCAATTTAAGGTTTAAATGAAAGTAGATGTAGAAGCATCTAAAAATGAATAAAATTACACATTGCAATTCGAAAAAGGGAAAGGTTTTTTTTAATAGAGAAATGCTAAATAAATAGGTTTTAGAAGAAAAAGGTAGAAATTTTGGGAGAAGATAGCTAACCTTATCAATCTGAGGAAACTGAACTCGCATCATACGAAGCACCAGCAAAGTGTCGCTAAAGCTAAGATTTTGCTCTGCGCTAAATTAGAAAGGATTCATGATGAGATTTCGCTAAAACATGAAAGGAAAAAAATAGAAAGCAATATTTTTGTTGGAAGCGCCAAACTTTTACCGAGAGAATGAGAATGATTAGCGTCGCTGTCAACGGCCTCGATCTCTTCGTCTTCTCTTCTGCATTTCTTTCCTTTATCCATCTTTAAGGGAACCCACCGACGGGAATTGGGAATTTGGCGCCTTACCCACCCCCTCAGGTTTGGAACTTTCTCTATAACCAGGGGGAAAGGATCGTTATCAATGTGGTGGAAACATTTTACGCCAAGAATCAAATAAAAATGTTGAAAATATCAACCCCAGAAGCAAATACTTGAAAGGGAGATGGGAGACTAATACACCAGAAGCAAATCTGAACGCCAAATCAAAGAAGAAGCAGATTTTCTTTTAACTAGAACCAAGCAGGGAGAAATGTATTTTAGACAACGGAACCAGGAATAAGATGAGGGATTAATATTCCCGTGAAAACAGGGAAAAATATCACTGTTGGTATTCATTTTTACCTGTACGGGAATGTAGCCCATCCAAACATGAATATTATTATCCGGAAAAAAATATTACGTGAACCAAACGAGTCCTTAGTAAATGATAATGTGATTCATCTTTTATTTTTCTGTATTCCTATCTTGCAGCCAAAATACCTTTCCCATTAACTCAGAGGTTCAGATCAATGTTGCAGAATGGAATTGACCTTAGCACAGTTGATGTGAGCTATGTCAGTAGCCGCTCATGGTATTTTTTTCCTTCTCTGGCTCTTTTTTTAGAGGCTTTCTTCGCTTGATACCACCATTTATTCACAAACTCTTTCACTTCCAGCTATTTCCTCAATTTGTTTGGTTTGAGGGGGTTATTTAGTCTGATTCTGGGAGATTAAAATGGTTAGTATCTGATCATGAACTTCCTGTCACGTATTTTTATTATTTATTGTGTTCTGCATTTCCTCTGGTTATTGGATTAATTATATATCTGTAGGGTTTCATCTGTAAATTGTGATTTCTTTTGGCAGCAACGGATGATACACAGCGAATGATGCAGATGAGTGGGTTTGGCTTTGATCCATCAAAGGTATTGAGTCAATTTGATCTCCTATCAGGTCAAATCAATTACAAACTGATGAAAATTGCAGGGAACTTTTAGTTTGATGAGAGATCAACTCAACTGCTATTTTGGTGATTGTAACAGTATCGTTGAAGGCATTATCGTTTTAGTTGGTTGATGTATTGTTTAAATTTGTAAAGCATCCTGAGAAGAGTTTCCAGTGAAACAAACTTTGCTTTGTTTCTCAGCTACGAGCAAATATTCATCTGAGTTGACTATTACCAATACTTGACCTAGCATGCCTCCTAATCGTTTGATTTTCTTCATTCATGGCAGAGCTTGAGTGCCGAGAAAGATGGTCTTGACATAGTCCAACATGAATGGGCACTCCCTAAATTCGAGCACCGAGCTGAAGCAGTGTTGAAAAAACTTGTCAGCTGAACATTAGGAGCGTGATAAACAACTGTCCGGAGGGGGTAGTTCGATTGAAGTTTTCATCTTACGAGCTCACTGAACTGTAAAAGATGAAACACCTTTAGAAACAAGGGTGGGCTTTGGTATATATTCCAGTTCAATGAGAAGAAAGAAGAGAATTTCCAGCTTCCTAATTTTTTGCTCTCAATAATTTTATGTTGAATCTTTGGTCGGCCGATCAGTTCTCATTTCTTTGCAACATCATAAGTTGGTTTTAAAGTTTAATTCTTATTTACATTTTGAATGTTATCTTGAGTCCTTGACCATGTAAATGTTCGTCATGGGGAGTTTGGTTTGTGAAAAAAGTATTATCAGAAGAAATAATCTTTTTAGAAATTATATTGTCATGTTTAGTTCATGAAAAATATTATTATTATGAGACAATATTTTCCTTATAGTAGCATTTTTTTTTGTTTAAATTGATGGAAATATCATTACCTCCAAATTTTTAGATAATACATAATTCTCCACATTTTGGATAAGAACACTCCTAAAAGTAGTTATTTTTTTATAATACTCATTTTCGAATCTTATTCTTTTTGTTTTATTCAAAATTATAAATATAATATTAATATATAAAGAGTTTAATTTAGTAAAATATTAGCAGATTTGAATAATTTAAATTATTTTATATTCTTAATATTTAATATATTAATTATTTATAATTTTATGAGGTGGAAAATGGTATTATCATAAAAAATATAATTATTTAAAAATAATATCTAACTTTGAGTTATTAAAAATTAATTTTATATATTGAAAAATAATATTTTCCCCATAAAATCATAATATTATATTTATATAAATAAATATAATACTTATGAAAATTCTTTAAAAATATAATTTTAATAAATTATATATTAAATGTATTTTTTAAAAAGAAAATTAGATAGTTTAATAGTTAAACTATTTCTATGAATTTTTATTCAAATATTTATAATTTAATATTAAAATTTAATTTATTGAAGAAAACATATAGTCCTATCACAATAATAATTTGATAAAAAAAATACGCATCCAAATCATCTTATATTCCTTCAACCAAACACTGCAATCTCATATTCTTATTAAACAAATCAAACAATGTAATACAACATTCCGTAATTACATTCCAGTAATTTTATTTCCAAAGATAATTTTACATTCCATGAACCAAATATTCCAAAATTATACCACGTGCCACAAATAGAAAGAATTATTAAATTCAAGGACTAGTGTAGACTTTTTTTGGGGGTGAAAGAATAATGTAGACTAGAAATCAAGTTAAGAGACAAAGTATGATAAATTGTCAAAATTAATCACCTTTTATATATATATTTAAAGAAGCAATTAATTTTATTTAAATAGGAAATATTTCAAATTATAATAAATATTTACAATCACCATCGTAAATTAAACACATAATTAGAAAAAAAAAATTTATAATAATTGAAACAAAACTAGTAACTTAAGTACCATATAAGGAAATATTAAATTTAACCAAGAAACTCGAACAAAGATTGTACAAACAGATCTGATCGCATCAGCAAACTAACTACAAAAAATGATCAAGTTATTGAAACCACTGACATACCACAAATCAGACTTATATAAGATCATACAAATAAAAATCTAATTTATTTCTAGCGCATATATGCTCGTTTTCCACGTACCTTGCATCAAATCCACATACATAATAACTGATGATTCACTAGTAAATGCCAAATCCAATTCAAATTATAAAATCCCAACACACAAATAATAGTCTGCAACGGAAACAACAACGCCATGCAGCACTTTCGACATTTCCTTATCCTCTTGTTGTCTCTCATTTCACTTCCTCTTATTCGGGCCGGTGTCGAAAGATATCCGGCTGTCGGATGGACACCATAAAGAATGTCAACGATCCGCACGTGATTCAGATCGCGAAATTTGCCGTTAGCGAAAATAAAATGCGGTCGAAAATAAAATTGGAGTTAGTGGCGGTGGTGAGAGGCGCAACAAAGGTGGTTTCCGGGATGAATTATCGGTTGTTGTTGAAGGCCACTGACGGAACCGCAACCAATCTATACCGTGCTATTGTGTATGAGAAGGCATGGGAAGGTTACAAGAAGCTTGCCTACTTCGAACCTGCCCAAGGTTATTCTTATTAATAATATTGAAAATAAAATGTTGGTGTTACAGCGATTAGAGAGTAATAAAATCTTAGTTTGTTGTGTAATATGATTCTATCAAGCATGATAATATTAATCTTTATTTAAATCATTGAATTAATAAATGAAAGTATCATGATTAATATAAAAAATTAAAAAATAAAATAAATATATATAAGAATATAATAATTATTTTATAATTTTTTAAAATTTAAGAAATAAAACAATTATTTAAATTTTGACCTACATTTCCCATCGTCCATTTCAAAAAACAAAGTGCCGGAGTCAAATTATAAATGGTTCCTCGGTTCAACTATAATTTTTCCACGTGTTCATGTCTAATAGGCTTTAACGGAAATTGTGATGTCGTCTTATACTACATCAGTTCGCACGACACTATATCTCATCCGAACTAAACTAAAGGTACGTTTGGTTCACGGAACATAAGGGAATAAAAGATTACCAGTGAATAGGATTACTGAGAATGTTGTATTTTGTATTTGGTTGGTTTAGAGGAATGTAAGATTACCATGTTTGGTTAAAAGAATAAAAGATTATTGAAATGTATATTTGACCAAATTGTCCTTATTATATATTTATTTTTTTAACAAGTTACAAAATATTTATATATTTTCTTTAAAAAAATTTAAATTCATAAAATTTATATAATTTTTTTACAAAATTGAAAATATAAAAAGGTTTAATGAAAGGGTAAATTTTTATTTTAATCCCTGAACTTCATATAAAATTTTAATTATAGATTTTTTTTGTAAATCTAAAATAGTTTAAGGATAAATTTGTAATTTAACATTCGTAGAATTTTTATTATTCAATGACAGAATAAGGATATTTTTTAAAGAAATTTTTTAAGGGCATTTTAGTCTAAAATGTCGGTAATCCAACAATACCTAAGGAAATTGAGGTAATGACATTTCAGGTAATATACTCCAAAAAATTTACTATTGGTAATGTAATATTACCGAGAATGACATTTCCGACCAACCAAACGGGGGAATGTGAATTCCATTCCATGGGAATATCACATTTCCCCAACCAAACACATCCTAAGTGTGAAATGTTCATGTAGCAGCCCGCTAAAAAAGACGTTATTGATTTTGTTATTTTTTAAATAATAAAATTGGTAAAAAATTACTAGAAATATTATTATTTCTATTCGTTTTGTTATTTTTTATCGGTTTTGTTATTATTGAGCACTTTACCGGAAATATTAAAAAACATTGATGTTTTAGTTAGAAATAATAATATTTTAGGTAATTTTTTACCTTTTTTTATTTAAATAATAAAAAAATCTGTAGCACATTTTTTAGCATTATATTAAGAGTGTCGTACTGTAGAACTTCCCAAGTCTGTAGGCAAAGCCAACCAACACATAAAATAAAGGGTAAAACTACACAAATGGTCAATAATTTCAAATATATTTTGTTTACTCTACTAAAGTTTTAAAAGTAACAATTAGTCACCGATATTATTAATTTATAACAAAAATATTCATTAACATTATTAATTTGTAATAAAAATGGTCATTAGCATTATTAATTTGTAACAAAATAGTCACTATATCTTCATCTTTGTTAAATTGATGACGTGATGACATTAATAAAAAAGTTAATATTTAGTTATACCCCTAAACTATTGTTAAAACATCAGTTAGATAAATAATGATTTGATATCTAATTTATCCAATAAAACTTTCTATTTTTCAACAAATAAAAAATATAATTATACATGAATAATTTTTTAAAAAAATAAAATTCTATAAAAACATTAAAAATATAAAAAATAACAATTAAAAGATATATAAAATGTTAAAACAATAAAGAGTATATAAGAAAATAAACATTAAATAATTTTTATTATTTTAATTAACCCTAGTTTTTTTAATAATATATTTTTATTTTAAAAAGTTTTTCAAGTATAATTATAATTTTTGGATTTTTTTTTTGCTGAAAATCATAAAATTTTTGGTACATTAGATATTGTTGAAAATATTTCGATATTTCGATATAACAAATTAAGTTAAATGAATTTTAAGATTTTCCAAATGATTTTCTAAGTATATTCGATATAATTATTCGAATATCAAAACATTACTCCAAATATTTCAAAAATCATTTTTAATCCTTACTTAAGTGTAAAATTAAGTTTTAATCTTAAAACAATTTCAAAATAATCTTTCAAAGTATTCCGAACCATTTCAAAGCCAAAAATTCCAGATTGCTCAGAGGGAACCGATTCCCCCCCAAAGGGGTATCGATTTCCCCCTGAATGGCTTGGCTCCGAGATTTCCAGAATGTTAGGAGGGAACCGATTCCCCCTATTCAACGGTCGAAATATTTGAATTTTACACTTAGGGAACCGATTCCCTATGAGGGGGTACCGATTCCCCCCACGCTCCAAACATTTTTATTAAATGTTTTCACACTAAAACGGCTATATTATCTTCACTAATCATCCCCAACGTTCAGAAGTGATTCAAGGTGTATTTAAGCTAGCTTAGGAGCCATTGATCAATAACAAGAAACGTCAAGCAACTAGAATCAAGAGAGAATCAAAGAGAAAGCATCAAACCTCAAGTTTGGAGCATTTCAAGCCTATTTTCATTCAATATTCATCTTGCTTTCAAGAACACATATTGTGCTCAATTGTATTCATCTTTGAGTGTCCTTTTATTTGTTCTAGAATTGTGCAAACAATCTACCTTATGAGGATTTCCTTGTAAGTTTGCAAAATTTGTATTGTTCTCTTTGGGAGAGAGTGTTCTCAAGAATTTGGGGTATAATTCTTGAGGGTTTGTAAGGTTACTCTTTGTCCTCAAAAGAAAGACAAATTAGTGAATTTGTGAAAAATCCTTAGTGTGGATAGCTAAAAGTAGTGGACGTAGACTTTGATTGAGAAAGTCGAACCACTCTAAATCGTTGTGCAAATCTTTTCAATTTTCTGCAAAAGCTTCCACCAAAATTTTAAATTGCCAATTCACCCCCCTCTTGGCCGATTCCGTCAATCGATTAACTCAACAATTGGCATCAGAGCTTGACTCATTTGAAGGTTTAACCGCCTCTTGAGTAGATCTGGGAAGAGTTAAATCGATAAAGATGGCGTCCACTTCCGGTTCATTCTCCATGGAAGAATCCAGACCAATTGACGTGCCTCCACACTTCAATGGAACAAATTATCGTCGTTGGAAGAAGCTTATGATGATATTTATCCAAGCATTTGATATGGAAGCTTGGATGATGATCAAGAAAGGATATTCTTCTCCTACAAAGAAGGCAAAGAAGTGGAGTGATCAAGAACGAAAGAAACCTCAACAAAATACAAAAGCTATGCACATGTTGTGTTGTGCAATTGACCCTAATGTATATAAAGGAGTTTCTTCTTGTTCAAATGCCAATGAAATGTGGGATAAGCTTGAGGAGATCTATGGAGACAAGGAAGAAGAAGAACCAATAAAGGTGATGTCTCTATTAGCTCTCACAGAGCCAAAGGTATCTTCTAACTCAAATAGATTAAATTCAAATCTTTAATGAGTTACAAGATGCTTATGATGAATTATTTTCGGAGTTTGAGACCATGAACTCCAAATACAATAAATTGATTTCTAAATTTATTGCTAAAAATGATCTTCTTTTGAAAGCTAAAACAGACTTGGAAAATCAAAATGAAATGTTAAGAAAGGAGTTAGAGCTTTCAAAAATAAAATATGAAAACTTTGAAAAAGAAATTTTCAAATTAAACAAACTTCTTCTAGAAACGAAAATGGATTTTGAAAATCAAAATGAAATCTTGAAGAAGGATTTAGAGCTTTCAAAAATGAAATTTGAATGTATTGAAAAAGAAAATTTCGATTTGAAAGTTAAGCTTGAATGTTTAACAAAAGAAAAAGATATCATTTTAAATAATTCATCTAGTTCAATAATGACAATATGTTCACATTGTCATTATCATGGTCATAAGGAACATACTTGTGCTTTAAAGAAAGGAAAACGATTTAAAATTAGACAAGTATGGGTTCCAAAAGGAACAAGAGGCATTGAAACTAATGTTCAAGGATCCAAAGCAATTTGGATACCAAAATCTACTTAAATGTCTCTTGTAGGTGTATGGGAGCAATGGTGATAAAGATGATGATATTCAAGATGCTCTAGCCACACATGAAAAAGGAATGAGTAACCTCTAAACTTAATATTTTTATTTTATTTGGTTGCTCATTTAGTTTATGCATGCATGAGGTTTTAAATGTTGAATAAATGATTATGTTTTATCTCATGTATGTTGAAAAATATTGTATGATGAACATAGTAATTTTTGGTAATGCTTTATAAACTCTAGTTCATCATATTAATTTTTGGTCAAAATTGTTTTTAAAATGTAATTGATATCTCTTTAACAATTGATATAGATTTCTCAAGAACTTTGGTTTTGTAAAATTTTGACCTTAAATTTTTCTTAATGATTATGCATATATATATATATATTTTTAAATATTATAAAGTTTTAATGCATAACATTTTCAAAAACTTTATGCATGTGCTCTTAATCTCGATAATCAACATTACATAATGTTTTGTATGTGAATGGATTAAAGCATAATCCGATTAGATAAATTTGACAAAAGATACAATGTCTTATTTTTAAATTAAGTGTTTGCAAAATTGATTGACATTGCATCTACTTTGATTATGCTTGTTGGTCATAGAATAGGAAACATATACATGGTGCATTTAGATTCTATTGATATGACTAATTTGTGCCTAGTTGCTAAGGATGAACATGATAGTTGGTTATGGCATAGGAGACTAGGACATGCTAGTATGAGTGTTTTGCAACGGCTAATTCAAGGTGATTTAGTTCGAGGGTTGCCTAAGCTTAAATTTGATAATGATAAAATCTGTGATGCTTGTGCTAAAGGAAAACAAAAGCGTGTTTCTTTTAAATCCATTAATGACGTATCAACTAGTAGAGTATTACAATTGATCCAT